AGTGTCCAGTAATGAGTTTTGCGATGGGTCTATGTGATAGGTGTGACTTTGGACAGCCTGTATGTTGACATTCAGGTCTATGTTCCTGCGTTGCTAAAGAATTTGCGTGGTATGTCTTGTACTGGAGCTTATTGGCTCTTGGGTGGTGGTTGGTTTTGGTGTAGGTATGGAGGCTTCTGGATGGTCTCTTATTCCTTAATGTTCCGTGTAGTCAGGAGTTTTCTGGTTTTCTCAGGTTTTGGGCTTAAGTCTCTTGCCTCTGGATTTCAGTTTTATTCTTGCAATAGACTCAAGACTTCTCCAACTATACAGCACTGATAATAAAACTTCTAGGTTAATGGTGAAAAGATTCTCCACCGTGAGAGACAAACAGAGAGGTTCACAGAGTTACATGAAGAAGAGGAGAGGGAGGAAGGAGATAGAGGTGAGCAGGAGGAGAAAAAGGGGACTCAAGAGGAGAGAGACAGATCTACACAGTTATCTGTTCCCAAAGTGTTCTCCGTAGCCCAGACACCCACAAAGATTCACAGAATTGGATTGGGAAGAGAAGGGGAAAGGAGGAAATAGAGGTGTTCTGAGGTAGAAAACAGAGAGTCAAAAGTGGGAGAGTAATCACACTCCTGAATAGAAATGGGAACTGAATATTGGATTCTTAAATGTCCAAAATTTATATCACATACTAAAAAACAAAGATTAAAAATCTAGTGTAGAGGTTAGACTCTTTGAAATACAATATTTAAAAACAAAAACAAAAAAAATTTAGAAATGTATATAAAGTTCGGTTTAAAAATAGGGTTTCTCTCTCTCTCTTTTTTTTTTGGCAAGGTTATAGTGAAATGAAAATGAAAATTAAGGAATAATAGAGGAGTATTAGAGGACTTTAAAAGGAAATAGGAGAGAAAAACAAGAAAAAAAAAATGAAAAAAAATTTTTTCTCTTAATTAAAAAAATCGTAAAAATATATGAAAATGAAAGTTGAGGAGTAATGGGGGAGTAACAGGGAATTTTAAAAGAAAATAAAAGAGAAAAAATTTTTAAAAAGGAAAGAAAAAAAATTTTTTTTAATAAAAAAATATATACATATATATCTAGGAATTTCTCTGGAGTTGTTGCGGTCAGTGTAGGTTCAGTTCAATTTCAGATAGCTCCTCTTTCCAGTTTACACTTCTCGATATCTGTAGGCCCCTTCTGGTGTAGTCGGTGTTACCTTCAGGGATTTTAATCTGTTGCACCAGTCCTTTCTGAAGTGGTTCCCTTTGTTTATTTGGCTTCTCTTTGCCGTCTCTTCGGTGTCTAATTTCCGCCCTGACACAGGCAGGCGGAGGTGATCTCTTATTTAGGTTCGCTAGTTCAGTTCAGTCCTGCTACGGGGAGGGCGGGGCGCTGCAGACAGATACCGCTCTGTGTGGACAGCACTCACCGTGTTCCGGCCACACTGGGTTTGCCCCGCTCACGGGTGTCAGTGCTTTCCCCGTCTACACTGCTCAGGCTCCCGGCTGCTCTATATGGAGCGGGCCCTGCGTTGAGTGCGGTTCCAGTTTTCGGGTACTCCACAAAAGCGCGGATTCGGTTGCGCCTGTGTTTTGTGCCTTTCCTGGCCTGAGCGGCCCAGGCAGCCAGAGGCTTGGGCGCACTCTCCCTGGGTACGGCGCGCCTTTTCCCTCCGCGTCGAGCGGCCCAGGCAGCCAGAGGCTTGGGCGCACTCTCCCCGGATGTGGTGCGCCTTTTCCCTCCGCGGCGGGCAGCTCAGGCAGCCAGAGGCTTGGGCACAATCTCCCCGGGTACGGCGCGCTTTTTCCCTCTGCGGCCCCAGCGCGCGCCGCCAGTCGGGTCTCAGGAAGTCTTCAGATAGGAACCGGGGGCCTGTTTGCAGTGTGGGAGGGGGTGGCTTCTCAGGGGCTGAGTTTGCCCTTTTCCCCTCCCCCCTGCCTCCTACCTCCAGCGGGGATGGGCCGGCTCTTCTCTGGAGTTTCTCAGTCCCTTTGTTTTGCGAACCGCCAGCAGTGTGTTCGGGCTGGTTAATTTTGTCCCTTGCTATCCCACAGTTTAAAAAAACTCCCTCCGATTGCTCTCAGGGTCTTCGGGCAGGTCCTTACCCTAAGCAATGCCGCCCGCTCCTCTCCGTCCCGCCCCCGCTTGTTGCTGGCGGGTACGGGCGTCTGGGGTACTTTTCTGCTGGGAGTTGCTTTTAAGCACGTAATCTGTGGGCCTTGTTTAATTTTTCCTCCCAGTTAGATTGCTGAAAACTTCCCCCTGTCCCGCCAGTGCGAGGGTTTCCTGGTGATTGGAAACTTCCTCAATTAAGACTCCCTTCCCGGGACGGGTCTCCGTCTGTAGCTCTTTTGACTCCCTTTTTATCTTTTATATTTTGTCCTACCTCCCTTCGAAGACAATGGGCTGCTTTTCTGGGTGCCTGATGTCCTCTGCTAGCGATCAGAAGTTATTTTGTGAAATTTGCTCAGCGTTCAAATGTTCTTTCGATGAATTTGTAGGGGAGAAAGTGGTCTCCCTGTCCTATTCCTCTGCCATCTTCTACTTCTTTTTTTAAAAAATATTTATTTATTTTTGGCCATGGTAGGTCTTCATTGCTCTGTGGACTTATGGCAAGCAGGGGCTACTCTCTAGTTGTAGTGTGTGGGTTTCTCGTTGCGGTGGCTTCTCTTGTGGAGCACAGGCTCTAGAGCACATACAGGTTCAATAGTTGTGGTGCATAGGCTTAGTTGCACCACAGTATGAGGGATCCTCCTGGATCAGGGATTAAACTCATGTCTTCTGGATTGGCAGATGGATTCATTACCACTGGGCCATCAAGGAAGACTCCTTTTTACTTCTTCAAACAATGACACTTACTTCCTCCAATGCTCTGCCAAAAATGAAACATCTTATTTTCTCCTTGGAGGAAACTGAAATCTGATTTCTTATAAACTTAACTCTGATGAGTTCAGTTATTATTTTATAGATTGTTTTTCTCCTTGTTCGGGTGGGAGTAGTTTTGTCTTTCTATATCCTCAGCAAAAGTGGAGCTGCAGTTCTTTAGTCAAGTTTGTCAGCATTTTCTTTCATGGTTAGTGCTTGCTCTGTATTAAGATGTCTTCTTTAAAAAATCCCTTTTCTACCCTGAGAGCATGAAGATATGGCCCTGTATTATATTACAAATATTTTATGGTTAGCTTTCCACATTTAGTTCATTAATATAACAGGAATTTATTTTTATGTGTGATGTGAGATGAATTTCCTTAATTTTTATCATATGTACACTATCATTTATTGATGATAGTTGTACAGTATCTTAAAATTGTCAGATTGCTCTTTAGTTGTGCTTGAGAATACAAAATATCTGAGCTCTAACATTGTGATAGTATCAAAATATAACTGGTAAAAATATGCACAGTATATTGCATTGGTTCTTTAATGAAGGAGAAAAGATGTATTTCTTTACTTATTTTTACATATTAAAATGGATAGTCATTTCCATTAGTTATCTTTTATTCTTTTCCAGCACTACACATCTCTATTATATTTTTTGACATGCCTCAACTTTATCATGTTTAATCCTTGATTGTTGTTGCCCCCAAGCCAGTACACTTTCTTATTTATTTCGTTCCATCATTCTTCCAGTTGTTCAGACTTAAAGCTTTGAAAATTTCCTTGTTGTAAAATGATAGCTTCTTAGTTTAAAGAAAACTTAAAAAGCATCTTGAGTGGCCTTCGTGCTTATATCTCCTTTCTAGTCTATCTTCTAGACTGCCATCTGCATCATTCTTTTTGTTACAAGTTGGATTATTTATCTTCCTATTTAAAAACCCTTGAAAGAGTCACTGATTAAGCTTCCTTAAAATGGCATAGAGAATTATTCATACTCTTGACTTCAAATCCGGGTTACAAATGTTGGGCCATGCAGCCCAATTCCAGAAGGCTTTCTTCACATAGGTTATGATTTGAATGGAGCTTTCAGGATTTGTTTAACGTGGTAGTTAGTTCAATAATTTTCACCTGGTATTAGTAATAGTACTATTATTATTGCCTGGAAAATTCCTTGGACAGAGGAGCCTGGCAGGCTATTATAGTCCATGGGGTGGCAAAGAGTTGAATACAACTAAACAACTGAGTACACACACACACACACACACACACACACACACACACACACACACACAATTATTATTATAGTTTGGTGATAGGAAAGGGAGGAAAAAGTACCATATAGTACAATTGGAGGTAGGTAGGGATTTAGCTACAAGTTTACAAAGCTAAAATGTTTTGCAGGAATGGGAAGCCATTTGAAGTTTTTAACAGGAATTGTGTAATTGGATTTCAGTTCCAGAAAAACAATGTGGGAGACAATATGGAGACTAGACTGAGGTGATAAAGACCTGAACTAGGAAATGCTATGGAATGGAGATCAGAACTTGCAGTCTAAAGACTTCTAACGATTGCATACTGTGCAGAAAGTGTTTTATATGCACTATTGCCATTTTAGAGCTAAGGAAACTGAAGTGAGAAATAACTTACCTAAGGTCACACATGCTGTGATAATGCCCAGACGGGAACACTTACATGTTTGCATATGTAAAATAACAAATGACATATGCTCTGTATTTATACCCAGTGCTTTCCAGAGTAGGATCCTCAGGATGCTATTTTAAAAGGTACTTTTGGCAAAGGCTTTTTAGAGACAATTAGATTTTAATAAAACCCAACTTACCTCACCTTGTACATATTGTACATAAAAACAGAGAAATCCTACAATAGGTGTGTGTCTTAATGGGATTTGTGTTCTGTTAGGATTGCTTTAATCCAATTTTCCCCAAACTGAATTTACCAAAGAATTCTCCTTTTGCGTAAACTAAAGGTTTCATGGAATTCAGTTTGGAAATAGTAAAGTTCATGGAGATATTGAAACATGGAAGAATATATAGTATGTACATATAAAAATTTATTATTTTAGTATTTTCTTAATATTGTAAACTTTCTTTGCTATGGATGGATATCAGCATCAGCTGGGGGAAAAGCTACTCCAAATGAGAATCAGATCAGAAATAATCAAACTGGAAATCCTGAATTGCCACGATCACAGGAAGATTCAGATAATGATTATTTTAGCGACAGTAAAAGGTAATTAGCATGAATGTTGATTCTACATATCAATCTATAAGAGTGAGATACCCAGGGTACTGTCTTAGAATCTTGTAATTAAAACAAGGACCAAGTGAAGTTAATGACATTTTTAACTAAAACCACCTTGATTCTGATGTTTACTGTTGTATACTAGTATTTCCCTCCAATATAATGGGGGATAATGTATTGCTTAAATTTATTCTATTGTAATTCTTCTGTCATCAGGGACAACCTAAATGGCAGAAAAGTTTCTGTCCTCATTTTTGTTTCCTAGAATTAATCTTTCTGGCTCTTTTACATTCCTGGTATGGTAAACTAATCATTATGCTTGAGTTTCACATTGGTATAATTTCAGTCAAAATTATAGTACTTAAACCACAGCTTTGCATATTAAAAGCTTCTTTTTGAAATTAAGGAATTTTATGAATAATTATTCTCAAAATAACTGTAAACAAAGTATGTTTATTAAATTTCCAGTTAGTTTACCCTGCTATCAACATTGGACTGTGATTTAAATTTATCTATAATTGACGAGTTTGAGCAAACTCCGGAAGATAGAAGACAGGGGAACCTGGTGCATTGCAGTCCATGGGGTCACAAGGAGCCAGACATGACTTAGCAATTGAACAACATAATGAAATATTATCTTATAACTGATGTTAAATGTAGTTTATGTTAATCATTAATGAGTTTGAAAGATAACATAATAGTTTCGAGATGACTGTAAACATTTTTAATGTTATATTTGTGTTTATAGAATGTTAAACAATTAAAAATATGAAAAGCTAATATTCATGGAATAATTTTTAATATGACTGTAAACTTTATCATTCCCTTTTAAGTCAGTTTCTTTGGAAAAATGAAGATGATAGAGCTAATATCATTAGAAGAGAGGATAATCAGGTATGATTTATAAATTTTTCTTAAATGTGATATTGTACCATATTTATATTGAAATTGAAATGCAGATTGCAGATTGAAAATGAAACTGCAGATTAAAATGTCCAAGGTTTCTACCTTATACATTAGAGACGAGGGAGATAAACTTCAAGAAAATTCAGGAGCCTGCCAATTCAGTGAAATTTCTGGGAGTTTTATGATCTGGGAGATATATTGAGATATGCCCTTTAAAGTAAAAACCAGGTATTTGAACCTTGCCCCAGCTACCATTGAAAATTAGTCACCCGATGCACCTCTTTTGAATTTGGAGATTTATATATAGCATTCAAATGTGTGGCTCCAATCTTTTCCTTTTTTTTTTTTTTTCAAACAAGTAATCTAAAAGACTATCAATTTTGGGCAGAAATGGCTCACAAAGTGGTCCAAGAGACACAGCAAGCAGTGCTGCTAGTTGTGTGCTAACATTCATCTAGTCCAATCATACTTGATATGTAATAAGTTGGAATGCTGAATGGAGTCTGAGACAAGTCCTGGTAGAAGAATCACAGCTCAGAGCCTTTGAGTTTTGGAGTAAAGGCATGCCATCTGCAGCAAATAATTATTTTGTTGTTGCTAGATATTACTAAAACTTAATATCTTCACACTTAAAAATAAAATTTTTCCACCTGGTGGGTACTAAATGCTTTTTAACTATGGCCTGAATTTTAATTTCCCAGGTTACCCATACAGTTGGTTTGATCCTGTTTATATATTTTATGGGCTCCATTTTGATAACTTTTTTGAAGAATTACCTTTTCAAGTAGTTGAAGTATTTTTCTCTTATTGCAAATCAAGACACTAACTTCTCATTTCTTCTTGTTTACATTTATTTTGTATACCCCATCTTCCTCCTCTACTTTTCCCCCCAACTTTTCTGGATTACATTGTTTTAGGTACATCTTTATAGACATCATAAAGTTGGGTTTCATTTTGTAAACAGTCTGAAAGTCATTTTCATTTAGTAGATGAGTTATGCCCTTTTATGTTATGATGGGATTGATATATTTGACCTCAAATTTGTCATTTTACTTTGCTATAGTTACTATGTGGCTTATTTGCACTTTCCCCCTTCCTTGTATATAAGAAGGTTGAATCTTATTCTAGTGTTTACCTTTATACTAATACAAATTTTTGTTAGTATTCCTCACCCTCCTTTTTCCTTTTTTAAAATTTATGCTTCCTCAAAAATTTGAAGTTTTGTTTCATTACCTCTAAAATTATCCTCTGACTCCTACCTTTACATTCAAGGTGATTAAAAAAATCATCCCTCTCTCTTTTCTTCCCTCATATACTTTGCGTTGTATCATTTCTACTTTGTCAAAGAACAGAACATTTATGGGCTGTGCTTCTTGTCTTCTCCTCACCCTTGTTTTAGTCTTAGATCTATAATTAAATATGATCAACACTTACTGACAGTTCTTTTGCACAAGATTTTTCAATCATTTCCTGGCTGGGTTAAGCTCCACTTATTTTTAAAAAAAGCTCCTCCATACAATATTCCCTTACTTCTTCCATATTTAAATCTGTCTAGAGCAGGAATAGACAAATAAGGCTCAAAGCCAGTTTAGTGTAGCATGGGACATAAAAATATTTTTTTTTAAGTTGGAAAAGGAAGAATTATGACAGATACCATTTGTTGCCTGCAAAACCTAAATTATTTATTCTGAGGCCTTTTACAGAAGAAGTTTGCTCATCCCTGTTTTGAGCCTTGATACTTGAGGGATAGCTTGATTGTCTGTAACATCCTCGGCTTATGAAATTTTTCCTTGAGTTTATTTAAATGTTCCCCTATTGATGTCTTATTTTATTTGTTACTATTAAGAAGTGTGATGCAAAATTGATTTTATTTTCCTTGTAAATCGGTTTGGGTATTCTGGAAGGCCAGAGTATTCCTTTAACGTGTAGTAGTTTTATCAGGCTATACTTCAGTTGAGCGTTCTAGGTCTGGTTTTTATGAGTACCCAGTGGGTCCTTTTAGGGCTTCCCTGGTGGCTCAGCTGGTAAAGAGTTAGCCTGCAATGCGGGAGACCTGGGTTAGATGCCTGGGTTGGGAAGACTCTCTGAAGAAAGGAACAGCTACCCACTCCAGTATTCTGGTCTGGAGAATTCCATAGACTGGGGAATCCAGTCTGTGGGGTCACAAAGAGTTGGACCTGACTGAGCAACTTTCATTAGTGGGCCCTCTCAGTATGAAAATCAAGACTTATTTTATTTCAACAAATTATAGTTCTAAAAAACAATATAAATAGCAGATCCATTCCATGTTTTTTCTTTCAGGGACCCCAATCTGTCTTTATTAGTTCTTCTTTACCTTTTATTTCTGTTACTTTCTTTCTGATAAAGTTTACCATTTCTTTTCTTTCTTTTTTTTTTAATTGGAGGCTAATTACTTTACAATATCATAGTGATTTTTGCTAAACATTGACATTAATCAGCCATGGGAGCACATGTGTTCCCCATCCAGAACCGCCCTCCCACCTCCCTCCCCATCCCATCCCTCAGGGTCATCCCAGTGCACCGACCCTGAGCATGAGAATGCACTGAACCTAGACTGGTGATCCACTTCATATATGATAATACACACGTTTCAATGCTACCCTCTTAAATCATCCCACCTTAGCCTTCTCCCACAGAGTCCAAAAGACTGTTCTTTACATCTGTGTCTCTTTTGCTATCTTGCATGTTGGGTCATCATTACCATCTTTCTAAATTCCATATATATGCATTAGTGTACTGCATTGGTGTTTTTCTTTCTGACTTACTTCACTCTGTATAATAGGCTCCAGTTTCATCCACTTCATTAGAACTTATTCAAATGCATTCTTTATAATGGCTGAGTAATATTCAATTGTGTATTTGTACCACAGCTTTCTTATCCACTTGCCTGCCATTGGACATCTAAGTTGCTTCCATGTCCTGGCTATAATAAACAGTGTTGTGATGAACATTGGGGTACACGTGTCTCTTTCAATTCTGGTTTCCTCGGTGTGTATACCCAGCAGTGGGATTGCTGAGTCATATGGCAGTTCTATTTCCAGTTTTTTAAGAAATCTCCACACTGTTCTCCATAGCGGCTGTACTAGTTTGCATTCCCACCAACAGTATAAGAGAGTTTCTTTTTCTCTGCACCCTCTCCAGTATTTATTGTTTGTAGACTTTTGGATAGCAGCCATTCTGATGGTGTTAGATGGTACCTCATTGTGGTTTTGATTTGCATTTCTCTGATAATAAGCGATGTTGAGCATCTTTTCATGTGTTTGTTAGCCATCTGTATGTATTCTTTGGAGAAATGTCTGTTTAGTTCTTTAGCCCATTTTTTGATTGGGTCATTAATTTTTCTGGAATTGAGTTATAGGAGCTGCTTGTATATTTTTGAGATTAATTCTTTGTCAGTTGTTTCGTTTGCTATTATTTTCTCCCATTCTGAAGCTTGTCTTTTCACCTTGCTTATAGTTTCCTTCATTGTGCAAAAGCTTTGAAGTTAAATTAGGTCCAATTGTTTATTTTTGCTTTTATTTCCATTACTCTGCAAGCTAGGTCATAGAGGATCCTGCTGTGATTCATGTCAGAGAGTGTTTTGCCTATGTTTTCCTCTAGGAGTTTTATAGTTTCTGGTCTTACATTTAGATCTTTAATTCACCTTGAGTTTATTTTTGTGTATGGCATTAGAAAGTGTTCTAGTTTCATTCTTTTACAAGCAGTTGACCAGTTTTCCAAGCACCTCTTGTTAAAGAGATTGTCTTTTCTCCATTGTATATTCTTGCCTCCTTTGTCAAAGATAAGGTGTCCAGAGGTGCATGGATTTATCTCTGGGCCTTTTATTTTGTTGCATTGATCTACATTTCTGTCTTTGTGACAGTACCATACTGTCGTGATGACTGTAGCTTTATAGTATCATCTGAAGCCAAGCAAATTGATTCCTCCAGTCCATTCTTCTTTCTCAAGATTGCTTTGACTCTTTGAGGTTTTTTTGTATTTTCATACAAATTGTGAAATTATTTATTCTAGTTCTCTGAAAAATACCATTGGTAGCTTGATAGGGATTGCATTAAATCTATAGATTGCTTTGGGTAGTAGACTCATTTTCACTATACTGATTCTTCTGATCCATGAACATGATGTATTTCTCCATCTATTTGTGTCATCTTTGATTTCTTTCATCAGTGTTTTATAGTTTTCTATATATAGGTCTTTTGTTCCTTTAGGTAGATTTATTCTTAAGTATTTTATTCTTTTTGCTGCAGTGGTTAATGGAATTGTTTCCTTAATTTCTCTGTTTTCTCATTGTTAGTGTATAGGAATGCAAGGAATTTCTGTGTGTTAATTTTATATCCTGAAACTTTACTATATTCATTGATTACCTCTAGTAATGTTCTGGTGAAGTCTTTGGGGTTTTCTATGTAGAGGATCATGTCCTCTGCAAACAGTGAAAGTTTTATTTCTTTTCCAACCTGGAATTCCTTTTATTCTTTTTCTTCTCTGATTGCTGTGGCTAAAACTTCAAAAACTATGTAGTGAGTGAGAATGGGTACCCTTGTCTTGTTCCTGACTTTAGGGGAAATGTTTTCAATTTTTTACCATTGAGGATAATGTTTGCTATGGATTTATCATATATGGTTTTTATTATGTTGAGGCATGTTCCTTCTATTCCTGCTTTCTGGAGGATTTTTATCATAAATGGATGTTGAATTTTGTTAAAGGCTTTCTCTGCATCTATTGAGGTAGTCATATGGTTTTTATATTTCGATTTGTTAATGTGGTGTATCACATTGATTGATCTGTGGATATTAAAGAATCCTTACATCCCTGGGATAAAGCCCACTTGGTCATACTGTATGACCTTTTTAATATGTTGTTGGATTCTGTTTGCTAGAGTTTTGTTAAGGAGTTTTGCACCTATGTTCATCAGTGATATTGGCCTGTAGTTTTCTTTTGGTGGGGGGCATCTTTGTCTGGTTTTGGTATTAGGGTGATGGTGGCCTCATAGAATGAGTTTGGAAGTTTGCCTTCCTCTACAGTTTTCTGGAAGAGTTTGAGTAGGATAAATGTTAGCTCTTCTCTAAATTTTTGGTAGAATTCAGCTGTGAAGCCATCTGGTCCTGGGCTTTTGTTTGCTGGAAGATTTCTGATTACAGTTTCAATTTTCGTGCTTGTAATGGGTCTGTTAAGATTTTCTATTTCTTCCTGGTTCAGTTTTGGAAAGTTATACTTTTCTAAAAATTTGTCCATTTCTTCCAAGTTGTCCATTTTATTGTCATATATTTGCTGGTAGTAGTCTCTTATGATCCTTTGTATTTCAGTGTTGTCTGTTGTGATTTCTCCATTTTCATTTCTAATTTTGCTGATTTGTTTCTTCTCCCTTTTTTTCTTGATGAGTCTGGCTAATGGTTTGTCTATATTTACCTTCTCAAAGAACAAACTTTTAGCTTTGTTGATTTTTTTGCTATGGTCTCCTTTGTTTCTTTTTCATTTATTTCTGCCCTAATTTTTATGATTTCTTTCCTACTAACCCTGCGGTTCTTCATTTCTTCCTTTTCTAGTTGCTTTAGGTGTAGAATTAGGTTATTTATTTGACTTTTTTCTTGTTTCTTGAGGTAAGCTTGTATTGCTATCAACTTTTCCCTCAGCATTGCTTTTACCAAGTCCCATAGGTTTTGGGTTGTTGTGTTTTCATTTTCATTCGTTTCTATGCATATTTTTATTTCTTCTATGATTTGCTGGTTATTCAGAAGCGTGTTGTTTAGCCTCCATATATTTGTATTTTTAATAGTTTTTTTTCCTGTAGTTGACATCCAATCTTACTGGATTGTGATGAGAAAATATGCTTGGAATGATTTCAATTGTTTTGAATTTCCCAAGGCTAGATTTATGGCCCAGGATGTGATCTATCCTGGAGAAGTTTCCATGTGCACTTGAGAAAATGGTGCAATTCATTGTTTTGGGGTGAAATGTCCTATAGATATCAATTAGGTCTAACTGGTCCATTGTATTATTTAAAGTTTGTGTTTCCTTGTTAATTTTCTGTTTAGTTTATCTATCCATAGGTGTGAGTGGAGTATTAAAGTCTCCCTCTATTATTGTGTTACTGTTAATTTCCCCTTTCATACTCGTTAGTGTTTGCCTTACATATTGTGGTGCTCCTATGTTGGGTGCATATATATTTATAATTGTTATATCTTCTTCTTGGATTGATCCTTTGATCATTATGTAGTGTCCTTCCTTGTCTCTTTTTACAGCCTTTATTTTAAAGTCTATTTTACCTGATATGAGTATTGCGACTCCTGCTTTCTTTTGGTCTCCATTTGTGTGAAATATTTTTTTCCAGCCCTTCACTTTCAGTCTGTATGTGTCCCTTGTTTTGAGGTGGGTCTTTTGTAGACAGCATATATAGGGGTCTTGTTTTTGTATCCATTCAGCCAGTCTTTGTCTTTTGGTTGGGGCATTCAACCCATTTACATTTAAGGTAATTATTGATAGGTATGGTCCCGTTGCCATTTACCTTGTTGTTTTGGGTTTGTGTTTATACAACCTTTCTGTGTTTCCTGTCTAGAGAAGATCCTTTAATATTTGTTGAAGAGCTGGTTTGGTGGTGCTGAATTCTCTCAGCTTTTGCTTGTCTGTAAAGCTTTTGAATTCTCTTTCATATCTGAATGAGATCCTTGCTGGTTACAGTAATCTGGGTTGTAGGTTATTCTCTTTCATTACTTTAAGTATGTCCTGCCATTCCCTTCTGGCCTGAAGAGTTTCTATTGAAAGATCAGCTGTTATCCTTATGTGTATCTCCTTGTGTGTTATTTGTTGTTTTTCCCTTGCTGCTTTTAATATTTGTTCTTTGTGTTTGATCTTTGTTAATTTGATTAATATGTGTCTTGGGGTGTTTCGCCTTGGGTTTATCCTGTTTGGGACTCTCTGGGTTTCTTGGACTTAGGTGGCTATTTCCTTCCCTATTTTAGGGAATTTTTCAACTATTATCTCCTCAAGTATTTTCTCATGGCCTTTCTTTTTGTCTTCTTCTTCTAGGACTCCTATGATTCGAATGTTGGGGCATTTGACATTGTCCCAGAGGTCTCTGAGGTTGTCCCCATTTCCTTTCATTCTTTTTTTCTTTTTTCCTCTCTGCTTCATTTATTTCCACCATTCTATCCACCATCCTATAATGGAATATAGGATATTCCATTATCCTATCTTCTGCCTCAGTTATTCTACTGTTGGTTCCCTCCAGAGTGTTTTTGATCTCAGTTATTGCATTATTCATTATTGATTAACTCCTTTTTATTTCTTCTAGGTCAAGTTTACCATTTCTTTATGTTTAATTTTCTTTGCTCCTTTTATTTCTCTTCTATGTTATGCTTACTGTATTTTTTTTGGTCATATCTGTTCCTGTTTGGATACCTGTTACTCATTTCTGAGACAGTTTGTTTTTTCTTTAATTTCTTTCTTCAATTTGGTCAATTTCCATTTTACATCTTCCTGGGTTTTTGCTTTTCCATTTTTATTCTGAATGTCTAAATTTGTGATTTATGGTGTTCATTAATACCTAAAATGCTTTGAATTCATTTAATACAATATGTTGGGATATTGTTAATTTTTTCTGCCTCTTGGCTGCTGGTTTTGTTTTAGTTCTTAATTTTGAGGGTTTTCAAAAAGTAACTTAGCATGAATGTTAGATTATTTTGTAGATGTTGTCTTTGCTTATTTGTGTTGGATTTTTCTGAATCAGTAGCAGGTGTTCTTACAGATGAACAGGGAGTAGTGTTCTGGTGGTTTAGTTTAGTTTTTAGATTAGGAGTGCCCTCTTCTGTTGTTATAATAAAATGTGGTTGTTTATTTTTAAATAAATGGGCATTTGGAGGAAATGCTGTTTTTTCTTTGTATACTTTCTTACTGATTTAATTCAGCAGAGCTCTTAACTAACTTGACCACCTTTCTTTCTCTTACAACCTTGCTTAACAGAACATCTCTTGCTTCTGAAGCATTTTCCTTTCACCGAGTAACTATGTTTCCTCATAATTACCACCTCTGGTCCTCTACATTTTAAAAGCCCCTTTCTTTTAGATTCCTCATAGAAAGAGCTCTGATTTACCAGTCCATAGCCTATCTCTCAATATTTCTCCACCACATGTAGGACTCTCTCCTTTAAGACTGAACTGTGGTTAATGTTCACTGTGTTATCTGTGTATTGTCTCTATTGTCTCTCTAATGCACAATCCCCATCTGACTCTGCTTAGATGTGAGCTCCTAAGCACACACTGCTGGCCTAGGGTGTTTATTTCTCCACTTACTAAATTAAAGTATATGTAAATTAAAGGATTCTGTGTCCTAGTTACACCACAGACATAAGTTGTGGGTGATTATATTTGCTTTCTTTTTATAGTAGTTGAGAACATGTGTGGAGAGATTCTAATTTAGGTGGTTTCCATTATCCTGTGGGAATCTGACCTTATAAGTTAACAAAATAAAATAAAATGCAATAAACTAGAAAAAATAATGAAACAAAGTATGGATAAGGGTTTCTTAATGAAGATAAAAGTAGAAACTAATAAGTTACAGAAGTAAACAGCCTAGGAGAATTGAAAAGAGTTCAAGATCTATAAAGTGGTAGTGGCAGAAACATCAACATCGGTAAGGCTTGAGGTAGTTTATCAAAAAAGGGTAGAAACAAAAAAATTAGGTGAGATGAAGGCAATGTAACACAAATACAGAGGTGATAAAATTTATGAGAATATAAGGTATGCTAAAATTTGAAAATGTGCTAGGATGTCCAATTTTCTAAGCAAATATAAATGGTCGAAATTGGCTCAAGAAGAAAAAATTCAATAGCCATCTGAGAAACATTTAAAAGTTGTCATAACAAACAATTGAAATCAGAAATCTTGGAATGAAATCATGCTTAGAAAGGAATATGGATTCTTTTTTATTTTTTCTTTGTAAATGTTTAGTTTGAAGCTCCCGTGGTATAACGTCCAACTAATAGTGGAATGGACAAAATAGAGCACTAGAGAGGGTCTATAGTTACAAAGACAGATTTTGGACTTCATCACCTTATAAGTTAAAAGATGCATTACTGTTGGCATTATCAGATGTTTACAAATAGGTGAAAAGTAATGTGTCACCCTACCAGATCTTACTGATTTTCATGTTTGCTTACAGCTAGGTAAAACGGAGTACATCCCCCTACCAGATCTTATTGATTTTCCTTCACTTCCTTGTCAACCTGCTCTTTCTCCCGGAATAACTGATAAATCTTTATCACAGATTGAGAGTGAGTATGATGATACTGTAAGTACAGATGATTCTAGGAGGTAACATTAAATGATGTTAATGAGGAGTTAACTGTTTAATGTGTACAGAGTTTTAGTTTGGAAAGATAAAGTTTTGGAGATGAAGGGGTGGTGATGCTTGCAAAATATTATGAATGCACACAGTGCCATTAAACTGTACATTTAAATATGATTAAAATGGTAAATTATGTATATTTTACCACAAAAAGTTAAATTATTTTAAAGTGTATGATTCTTATGTTGATTACTGCATATGTGTGTCACTAGTATTATTTCTACTTTTTAAAAAATACATTCTAAAATATACATTTTTCTATGTAAGATTTAAGTACAATAACTTCGGACCCAAGATAAATTTACTTAAAGAATTAAATCAAGAGATATAACTACATGAGCTTTACCTAGTTTCTATACATATATATAAATGCAAAAGAAACATACTGTATTGTTTACATATATATAAGTCTCCTATAGACACTGAAATGACTCCTCAGTGTTTTCCACAGTGGCAATCACTATACTACAGGTAGAAAAACAGAGTTTGGGGTAAAATTTATACTTGCTGTTTTAAGCATTTTTTAGTTTTATATTCTATATTTTAGAACTTGACCCATCTTTTAGCTTTTAGGTATTTATGAGTATGGCTTATAATCTATTAGGGGAGAAGATTATTGAACAAATGAAACAAGTAAAGGAAGAAAGAAGATATCTGGAAAGAATTAGAGAAGAACTAATGAAAAAAGCTGAAAGGCTATTGGAACAAAGCAAATTAAAGCACTATCATGGTAAAATTTATTACATATCTTTTATCACTATAAAGGAAACTCAAGGTTTACAGAATTCATGCCTGTAAATTCTGTGCCTGTGATTTATTTTACAGAATAAACCACAAAATGATGATATTTACTGTTTTACTGTTATAGTTTAAATGATACACTATTGATATAGATTCACTGTAGGAACAGTGAAATCATTGTTTGACTATTTTATACACTAAATGCAACATGCTTTTTATTAAAATTCAATTATTTTTTATTTCAACTTAATTTTTATTGAAGGATAATTGCTTTACCAAACTTCATTGTTTTCTGTCAGATCTCAACATGAATCAGCCATAGGTATACATATATCACCTCCCTTTTGAACCTCCCTCCCATCTCCCTCCCCACCCCACCCTGTAGGTTGAGAGCCCCTACTTGAGTTTCCTGAGCCCATCCTGGAGTCCAAAGTCAAGTGGACCTTAAAAAGTATCACTCCAAACAAAGCTAGTGGAGGAAGTGATGGAATTCCAGCTGAGCTATTTCAAATCCTAAAAGATAAGGCTGTGAAAGTGCTGCACGTAATATGCCAGCAAATTTGGAAAGCTCAGCAGTGGCCACAAGACTGGAAAAGGTCAGTTTTCATTCCAATCCCAAGAAAGGCAATGCCAAAGAATGTTCAAACTACCACACAATTGCACTCGTCTCACACACTAGCAAAGTAATGATGAAAGTTCTCCAAGATAAGCTTCAACAGTAGGTGAACCATGAACTTCCAGATGTTCAAGCTGGATTTAGAAAAGGCAGAGAAACCAGAGATCAAATTGCCAACATCCATTGGATCATAGAAAAGGCGAGAGAGTTCCAGAAAAACATCTACTTCTGCTTCATTGTCTGTGGCAAAGCCTTTGACTATGGGGATCACAATAAACTGGACAATTCTTAAAGAGATAGGAATACCAGACCATCTTACCTGCTTCCTGAGAAATCCCTGTGCAGGTCAAGAAGCAACAGTTAGAACCGTACATGGAACAATGGACTGGTTCCAAACTAGAAAAGTACATCAAGGCTGTATATTGACACCCTGATTATTTAACTGACATGCAGAGTATATCATGCAAAATGCTGGGCTGGATGAAGCACAAGCTTGGAATCAAGATTGCAGGGGAAAAATATCAATAATATTATATATGCAGATGATACCACCCTTATGGCAGAAAGCAAAGAGGAATAAATAGCCTCCTGATGAAAGTGAAAGAGGAGAGTGAAAAAATTGGCTTAAAACTCAACATTCAGAAAACTAAGATCATGGCATCTGGTCCCATCACTTCATGGCAAATAAATGGGGAAACAATGGAAACAGTGACAGACTATTTTTGGGGGGCTCCAAAATCACTGCAGATGATGACTGCGACCATGAAATTAAAAGACACTTACTCCAGTGGTGCTGGGAAAACTGGTCAACCACTTGTAAAAGAATGAAACTAGAACACTTTCTAATGCCATACACAAAAATAAACTCAAAAATGGATTAAAGATCTAAATGTAAGGCCAGAAACTATAAAACTCCTAGAGGAGAGAATAGGCAAAACACTCTCCGACATAAATCACAGCAAGATCCTCTATGACCCACCTCCCAGAATATTGGAAATAAAAGCAAAAATAAACAAATGGGACCTAATTAAACTTAAAAGGTTTTGCACAATGAAGGAAACTATAAGCAAGGTGAAAAGACAGCCTTCAGAATGGGAGAAAATAATAGCAAACAAAGCAACAGACAAAGGATTAATCTCAAAAATATACAAGCAACTCCTCCAGCTCAACTCCAGAAAAATAAATGACCCAATCAAAAAATGGGCCAAAGAACTAAACAGACATTTCTCCAAAGAAGACATACAGATGGCTAACAAACACATGAAAAGATGCTCAACACCATTCATTATCAGAGAAATGCAAATCAAAACCACAATGAGGTTACCATTATATGCCAGTCAGGATGGCTGCTATCCAAAAGTCTACAAGCAATAAATGCTGGAGAGGGTGTGGAGAAAAGGCAACCCTCTTACACTGTTGGTGGGAATGCAAACTAGTACAGCCACTATGGAGAACAGTGTGGAGATTCCTTAAAAAACTGGAAACAGAACTGCCATATGACCCAGCAATCCCACTCCTGGGCATACACATGGAGGAAACCAGAATTGAAAGAGACACGTGTACCCCAATGTTCATCGCAGCACTGTTTATAATAGCCAGGACATGGAAGCAACCTAGATGCCCATCAGCAGACGAATGGATAAGGAAGCTATGGTACATATACACCATGGAATATTACTCAGCCATTAAAAAGAATACATTTGAATCAGTTCTAATGAGATGGATGAAACTGGAGCCCATTATACAGAGTGAAGTAAGCCAGAAAGAAAAACACCAATACAGTATACTAACACATACATATGGAATGTAGAAAGATGGTAACAATAACCCTATATGTAAGACAGAAAAAGAGACACAGATGTATAGAACAGACTTTTGGACTCTGTGGGAGAAGGCGAGGGTGGGATGATCTGAGAGAATGGCATTGAAACATGTATTTTATCAAGTGTGAAACAGATCACCAGTCCAGGTTGGATGCATGAGACAAGTGCTCAGGGCTGGTGTACTGGGATGACCCAGAGGGATGAGATGGGGAGGGAGGTGGGATGGGGGGTTCAGTATGGGGAACACATGTACATCCATGGCTGATTCATGTCAATGTATGGCAAAAACCACTACAATATTGTAAAGTAATTAACCTCCAACTAATAAATGAAAAAAATAAAAGATGCTTGCTCCTTGGAAGAAAAGCTATGTCCAACCTAGACAGCATATTAAAAAGCAGAGATATTACTTTGCCAAGGTAATTACTTTGGTAATTACCTTGCCAAAGGTCCATCTAGTCAAAGCTATGGTTTTTCCAGTAGTCATGTATGGATTTGACAGTTGGACTATAAAGAAAGCTGGGCACTGAAGAATTGATGCTTTTGAACTGTGGTGTTGGAGAAGATTCTTGAGAGTCCCTTGGACTGCAAGGAGATCAAACCAGTCAGTGCTAAAGGAAGTCAATCCTGAACATTCATTGGAAGGACAGATGCTAAAGTTGAAGCTCCAATACTTTGGCCACCTGATGGGAAGAACTGACTCATTGGAAAAGACCCTGATGCTGGGAAAGATTGAAGGCAGGAGAAGGGGACGACAGAGGATGAGATGGTTGGATGGCATCACCGATTCGATGGACATGAGTTTGAGCAAGCTCCAGGAGTTGACAGGGAAGCCTGGCATGCTGCAGTTCATGGAGTGGCAAACATTCGGACATGACTGAGTGACTGAACCGAACTGAAAGGCAATTAATTCCATATATACCTTTTACCCTTTTTATCTTCTAATACAACCCAAAATGTAAGCCTCTTGAATTATTTAACCATCTCTCAAATCATTATCCTATTCTTCCTCCACCCTTTCCCTTTTTTTCATTTCTACAAGTTCTAACAACACTGTTTCTAATTATTGCAAGGAGACTGTTTTTCTTACCTCATTTCTCTCATTCATTCACCCATTCATTCAATTTAGCAAAGCAGACAGATACTCATACCAAAAAAACTGAGCATCTAGGGGAAACTAAGGGACTCAAAGAAGGCTTCGAGAGTGATATCTAAGCTGAGATTGAATGATTAGTAGGAAATAACCAGGAACTCTGAAGAAAGAAGCAGAAGGAGAAGATAAGATTTAGATGGCCGAGGGAAAAGACTGAAGGCCTGGAGCCAAGAGGAGGCACACTTCAGATTCTAGTATGGTGGGTGGTAAGTCGTGTCTGACTCTTGTGACCTCATAAACTGTAGCCTGGCAGGCTCCGCTGTCCATGGGATTGTTCCAGTAAGAACACTGGAGTGGGTTGCAATTTCCTTCTCCAGGGGATCTTCCTGACCCAAGGATCAAATGGCAAATTCTTTACTGACTGAGCCACCAGGGAAGCTCAGATTCCAGTACATCTACCACTTTTCCTGGAAGCCTTTCTTGATCGCTTCCATTTTAATTTAGGTGTTTTTCGTCTGTACTCCCATGCATAGAATCTGTAATTCCTTTATCATAGCAGTTATCAGGATGTATCACTACTGCTTAACCTGATCATCATTCCTCCACTGGACCATAAACACTTTGAGGGCAGGGACAAGATTATGTTGGCTTATTACTAACTCCCCACCCCCTAGAGCAGTGACTAAGTTCAGTAGGCACTTAATAAACACTTATTTAATACATGACTGTTAAAATGAATAAATAAATGTCAGTTTTTAAAAATAATTGAATTTTTAATGCTCTTGCACTGTTGGTGGAAATATAGATTGATACAGTCACTGTGGAAGATGGTATGGAGATTCCTTAAAAAACTAGGAATAATACCACCGTATGACCCAGCAATCCCATTCCTAGGCATATGCCCTCAGGAAACCAGGGTTGAAAAAGACACATGTATCCCATTGTTCACTGCAGCACTATTTACAATAGCTAGAACACTGAAGCAACCTTAATGCCCATCAACAGATGAATGGATAAAGAAGTTGTGGTACATATACACAATGGAATATTACTCAGTCATAAAAAGGAACACATTTGAGTCAGTTCTGATGAGGTAGATGAACCTAGAACCTATTATACAGAGTGAAATGAGTAAGAAAGAGAAAGATAAATATTATATTCTAACGCACATATACAGAATCTATAAAAATGGTTCTGAAGAATTTATTTACAGGGCAGCAATGGAGAAACAGACATAAAGAATAGACTTATGGACATGGGGAGAGGGGAGAAGGGGGTAAGATGTATGGAAAGAGTAACATGGAAACTTATACTACCATATGTAAAATAGATAGCCAATGGGAATTTGCTGTATGACTCTCAGTGAGTGATCACACCATCATGGTTATCTGGGTCATGAAGATGTTTTTTGTATAGTTCTTTTGTGTATTCTTGCCACCTCTTCTTAATATCTTATGCTTCTGTTAGGTCCATACCATTTCTGTCCTTTATTGAGCCCATCTTTGCATGAAATGTTCCCTTGGTGTCTCTAATTTTCTTGAAGAGATCTCTAGTCTTTCCCATTCTGTTGTTTTCTTCTATTTCTTTGCATTGATCACTTAGGAAGGCTTTCTTATCTCTCTTTGCTATTCTTTGAAACTCTGCATTCAGATGGATAGATCTTTCCTTTTCTCCTTTGCCTTTCCCTTCCCTTCTCTTCTCAGCTATTTGTAAGGCCTCCTCAGACAACCATTTTGCCTTTCTTTTTCTTGGGGATGGTTTTGATCACTGCCTCCTGTACAGTGTGAACAAACCTCTGTTCATAGTTCTTCAGGTGCTTTGTGTATCAGATCTAATCCCTTGAATCTCTCAGTTTATAGCAAAATTATTGCTCTAGTAGTAGATCTGACTGGAGGTTACAGACAATGTCAGGAGGTATTTCTCAGTGTTTTACCTCATAATATTAAAGCGTTACCCCAGAAGAGGTGGCAACGATTTGGCCATGTTATAGTGATAAAAGAACAATTTTATCAGACAGATTTGAGCAATGAATTAGAAATCACAGGACCAGGACCTGATACCAGAATAATCTTTTACTTACACAAGTTATTTCTCCTCTTTGTGCCTCACTCTATCTATTTGTAAAATAAGAATTATCACTTACTTTCTATTTCAACAGGAATGTTTCAAGATAAAATGTATCAGCCATCAAATATTTTGATTGAGCCTATTATGCACCTCGGTTCTCAGCATTGTTTTAAATGCTGAGGATACAGCAGTAAACAAGACAAACATGGCCCTGCCCTCAAGGGGTTGCCTCTAATTGGAGGATACAGACAATAAACAAATAAGTAAGATAATATCAGCTACTGATGAGAGCTAAAAAGTTAATTAGAAGAGTACAGTAAAGAGTAGTGGGGCAGGAGAGACAGTTTAGCTAGACTTTTCAAAAGGCTTCTCTGAGGAGATATCATTAAGGTTTGATTAATAAAATGATACACATGTGAAGGAGCTTCCCTGATGGCTCAGTGGTAAAGAATCCACCTGCCAATGCAGGAGACACAGGTCGATTCTTGGGTTGGGAAGATCTCCTGGAGAAGAAAATGGCAAACCAACCCACTCCAGTATTCTTGCCTGGGAAATCCCATGGACAGAGGAGCCTGGTGGCCTACAGTCCATGGGATCGCAAAAAGAGTTGGACATGACTTGGCAGCTAAACAACAAGCATGTAAAAAGATAGGGGGAAAAGAGTCCAAACAGGAGGAACACTAAAATTCAAGATATAGAAATAGAAATAAGCTTTCAGAATTAAGGACCTGAACCAAGACCAGTGTGGCTGGAGTGTGATCAGTAAGAAAGAATGTAGAGGGAGAAAATCAAAAGGTCAGCAAGGAACAGATAGGCCAGTTCCAGAAGTTGGATTTTGTTACAAGTAATATGGGAAGACATTAGAGAATTTTTAATCTTTGGATTTATGTGATTTTTAAAGTATTTTAAAGATGTTTTAGAAAGATGGAATAGCCTGTAGAGGGGCAAAAATGGAAGCAGAGAGGCCATTAGAAAGATAATACATCTTTCAAAAGATGATAGTGGATTGCCTAGCAATGCAGCACTGAAGAAGGGAGAATGTGTGAGATGTGCAAAGGATTTTGGGAGTGGTACCAGTAGAACTTGCTGTGGGGTTAGATATAGGGCTGAGATAAATTGTTAAAATCTTGAGTTAAAGTTCCATGTAGTTTTTTATTTTTAATTAAATCACCTTATAATATAGAATTTTAAGGTGTTTTCATGATAATCTTAAAAAAGGAAATATAAGCATATTCTGGTATACTAGCATGCAGTTTGTGTCCCAAATAAGTTTATATTTAGAATCTCATTAGTGTCAAAGTGATTTCTTAAACTGGCAGAGTTTAATTTCTAATTTTCTCAACCAGAAGTCATGTTTAAGAAATTCTGCCCTACAGAAGTTTGGGGATATATTGGGAATAATTTTGACAAATGATGAATTAGAATCAACTGATTTCACAAAACAAGTCATTTTGGGGCTGAAAAATAAGGAAAATCTGAAAATATATATTTTGCCTTTGTGTTTTATATTTTCAATTATATAAATGCTGAATTTGAATCAGATTATGGATAAAAGTAATCAAAATAAAAATATACACATCTTGTTATAGGTAGTATTTTGAAGAAAGATTTTATTAAAAAAGTACAAGCTTGAAGAGCTTGATTTTGGTTCCTGGATTTAAGAGCATTTTACTATATTTGTAGGCCTTTTATTCAATAAACATTTTGCTCTTAACTCTAATTTTCTCAGCATATGAGAGAGGAATGGTTTGAATTAACTCCAGGGTCCTTTCCAGATTGAAAAATTTAATCAAACTATAGCATTTGCATTTTTGTTGTTGGTGGTTTTTTGGTTTTTTTTTTAAGCCTGTGGTGTTTGGAAAAAAAAGTGCTCTGAAGCAAAGAAAGTTACAGCATCATTGGAGGAAGTTTTAACAAAACTTCGAGAAGATTTGGAACTTTACTATAAAAAATTGCTCATGCACCTTGAAGCCAGGGAGATCAAGATGAGACCAAAGAATCTTGCAAACATCACAGACTCTAAGGTACTATTAAATGTGTTCACATTCTATTGTGTGTGCATGCTAAGTCACTTCAGTCGTGCCTGACTCTTTGCAACCCTATGGACTATAGCCTGCCAGGCTTCTCTGTCCATGGGGATTCTCCAGGCAAGAATACTGGAGTGGGTTGCCATTCCCTTCTCCCAGGGATCCCAAGGATCCCAAGCCAGGGATCGAACCCAGGTCTCCTGCATTGCAGGCAGATTCTACACTGTCTGAGCCACCAGGGAAGCCCCTGTGCTATATATCACATCCCTAGAACTTGTAGATCTTCTATCTGCAAGTTTGTAACTTTTGACCACTGTCACCCATTTCTCCCAACCCCCACCTCGATTTCGCCAACCACCAACCTACTCTGTTTCTATGAGTAAAAGTTTACCATTTTAGGTCAATTTAATGTAAAATCCAAATAGTTTTAAATAAAGTTTTCTCCCTATTAGAAGATACTATTTTTAAGCATCATTGAAACTTTTTATCTTACTGTTTTCTCCAGTTCAATATATGATAATGTCCTTTTCATGAAAGCAGCTTAAATTATTTCTTTGCAGACAGTTACACCTCACAAAGAATAGCAAGGAGAGATAAGAAAGCCTTCCTCAGTGATCAGTGCAAAGAAATAAGAGGAAAACAATAGGATGGGAAACACTAGGGATCTCTTCAAGAAAATTAGAGATACCAAGGGAGCATTCATGCAAAGATGGGCACAATAAAGGACAGAAATGGTATGGACCAACAGAAGCAAAAGATACTAAGAAGAGGTAGCAAGAATCCACCAAACTATACAAAAAGGATCTTCATGACCCAGATAATCACGATGGTGTGATCATTCACCTAGAGCCAGACATCCTGGAGTAAGAAGTCAAGTGGGCCTTAGGAAGCATCACTATGAACAAAGCTAGTGGAGGAGGTGATGGAATTTCACTGAGCTATTTCAAATCCTAAAAGATGATGCTGTGAAAATGCTGCACTCAATATGCCAGCAAATTTGGAAAACTCAGCAGTGGCCACAGGACTGGGAAAGATCAGTTTCATTCCAATCCCAAAGAAAGGCAATGCCAAAGAATGCTCAAACTACTGCACAATTGCACTCATCTCACACACTAGCAAAGTAATGTTCATAATTCTCCAAGATAGGCTTCAACAGTATGTGAACTGAGAACTTCCAGAAAATCCAGTTTAAAAATCCAGTTCAAGTTGGATTTAGAAAAGGCAGAGGAACCAGAGATCAAATTGCCAACATCCACTGGATCAGAGAAAAAGCAAGAGAGTTCCAGGAAAACATCTACTTCTGCTTCTTTGACTATGGCAAAGCTTTTGACTGTGTGGATCACAGCAAAGCGGAAAATTCTTAAAGAGAAGGGAATACCAGACCACCTTACCTGCCTCCTGAGAAATCTGTATGCAGGTCAAGAAGCAAGTTAGAACCAAACAAAGGACTGGTTCCAAATTGGTAAAGGGGTACGTCAAGGCTGTATATGGTCACCCTGCTTACTTAACTTATATGCAGATTACATGCAAAATGCTGGGCTGGATGAAACACAAGCTGGAATCAAGGTTGCTGGGAGAAATATCAATAACCTCAGATACGCAGATGACACCACCCTTATGGCAGAAAGCAAAGGGGAACTAAAGAACCTTTTGATGAAGGTGAAAAAGGAGAGTGAAAAAGCTGGCTTAAAACTCAACATTAAGAAAACTAAGTTCATGGCATCCAGTCCCATCACCTCATGGCAAATAGGTGGGGAAACACTGGAAACAGTGACAGCCTTTATTTTCTTGGGCTCCAAAATCACTGCAGACTATGACTGCAGCCATGAAATTAAAAACACTTGTTCCTTGGAAGAAAAGCTATGACAAACCTATAGAGCATATTTAAAAGCAGAGACATTACTTTGCCAACAAAGGTCCATATAATCAGAGATATGGTGTTTCCCTTGTAGCTCAGTTGGTAAAGAATCTACCTGCGACACAGAAGACCTGGGTTCAATTCCTGTGTCAGGAAGATCCCCTGCAGAAGGAAATGGCAACCCACTCTAGTATTCTTGCCTGGAGAATCCCATGGACAGAGGAGCCTGGCAGGCTACAGTCCATGGGGTTGCAAGACTTGGACTTGACTTAGTGATGAAACCATCTCATGGTTTTTCCAGTAGTCATGTATGGATGTGAGAGTTGGACCATGAAGAAGGCTGGGCGCCAAAGAATTGATGCTTCTGAACTGTCATGTTGGAGAAGATTCTTGAGAGTCCCTTGGACTGCAAGGAGATCAAATCAGTCCATCCTAAAGGAAATCAACCCTGAATATTCATTGGAAGGACTGATGATGAAGCTGAAGCTCCAGTGCTTTGGCCACCTGTTGGGAAGAGCCGACTCACTGGAAAAGACCCTTGTGCTCAGAAAGAGTGACAGCAGGAGAAGGGGACAACAGGACAAGATGGTCGAATGGCATCACCGACTTAATGGACATGAGTTTGAGCAAGCTCCAGGAGATGGTGAAGGACAGGGAAGCCTGGCATGCTACAGCCCATGGGGTAATAAAGAATCAGACACAACTAACAACTGAAGAAAGAACAATAACAACTCACAAACTTTTCTGAACAAAAGTAACCTTTACTTAACTAAAATAGGTTTTCTCATATTAAACAGATTTTCTTATAAAATAAAGTATTTCATTATTAAATATTTTAATGTGATTCTATTATGATTCCACTGATAAACCATTATGCCAATTTCTGAAGTCTTGCTAAGTATCTTAAATCTAGTATATTCATCTTATAGTAATAGTTGTTGGATTCTATGGTGCTAATTTAATGGTAAATTTTACAAATACCTATTTATTTTTATAACACATGAAAATGGTAGTAGAGCATAAAGGAAAGTGGTCCCTAAAGCATAAGAAATTAACAACTCAATAATTTAAACAACTCGATAATTTACTGCAAAGCAACAAGCTTATTTTATGGAATAGGTTATTTTCATGATATGCTCTTTTGATATTTGGTGTCTTTTTGTTGTTTATATTGACAAAGAATTAAAAATTTAAAAGGTAGATGTTATACTAAACAGGCATCTTTATATGTCCCATACAGAATCACCTTATCATCCAGATCACTGAAGTACAACATGCTATTGATCAACTTAAGAGAAAACTGGATACTGACAAAATGAAACTCATAATAGAAATTAAGGTACTCTGAATTTCCCCTAATAAGATTGTAACATTTATCTTGAAATAAACTACTTTGGTGTTTTAACTTTGCTTGTCAATAGTGTAAAGGCAGTAAGGACTGTCTTAAAATTGTTACCTTAACAAAAAGCGTGAATGAAAAAAGTACAAGAATAATAATGAAATCCTGTTAAAAGATCCCTAACAAGGCCAAAGCAAAACTTAGTAAAATTTCACTAAGAAGTAAAGTAAAAGAACCTTGTGAATCAGTATCCCTTCCGTCCATCATGTGCTCAGTCCTGTCTGCCGACTCTTTGTGATCCCATAGACTGTAGCTCACCAGGCTCCTCTGTCCATGGGATTTTCCAGGCAAGGATACTGGAGTGCATTGCCATTTCCTTCTCCAGCAGATCTTCATGAACCAGAGATCAGACCCATGTCTCCTGTCAGAACCAGGAGACATTGCAGGCAGATTATTTACCTCTTGAGCCATCAGGGAAGCCTGTGAATCAGTACAGAGTCTCCATAAAATATTTTGAAAGAAGTAATTTTCATACATTAGCATCATTCATACCTAAGTTTGACAAACCACTGAGCTCTCTGAGCTCCCATTTAATTTTAATGTTTTCTCTCTTGGGTAATTATCTCATTTACTCTGGTTATTTTCATAGATATATATACAATGTTATATGAGTGCTCTCAATTCACCTCTTTATCAGAAATAGCTTTATGACAGAGAATAATGACCCCTGTCAAGAATTAGCACTGTCCAATACAACTTTCTGTGATGGTGGAAATGTTTAAGACCTGCAATGTCTGATAAGGTAGCCACTAGCCACATAAGGATGTTGAACACTTGATATATAGATTGTTGTGTGACTGAGGAATTGAATTTTAGATTTAATCTTAGTTACTTTCAGGTTAAATAGTTACATGTGACAAGTGGCTACTCTACTGGACAGAACTGTTCTAGATTCTTTTCACTAGCAGCATTCTCCAGACTAAACCCCGGCTCAGCACTGAGAAGCTTAAAACTACACGAAAGGAAAAAGGTAAAGGACAATTTTAAACAAAAAAAAGGGAGTTATTTGACATTTTTATACAGTATACACTCAAAAAAATAGTTCATTCAGTGAATAAAAACTCCTGTGTATCCAGAAAAAGGAGAGAAATCAAGCATAAAACTTGTCCACTTAAGGATAGGTGGATGGGTAGAAGACCCACCAGGGCCTTCCAATTACAACTTCCTCAATGCCATTTTCTTCTGGAAAGCATGCACATTAGTTCTTACCTCTTTTTGTATATTTTAGCCTTATAAATATTACATATAAATGGTTTGAACTCAAATTAGAACTATAGTGAAAAACAGGAAAGACATGTAAAAAAAGAGAACCACACTTTCAGCTTATAGGCTGCAGGGGAAAAAAAATCCTACATTAACCATAGGGACTAACTGTCACATAGTAGACATTATAAGATACATTATAAGAATTTATATATCTATACATAAGATACAGATCTAAGGAGCAGAAAACCTATTTTGACTGTTGCAACCATATTCAAATAATATAGCACAATCTGCTTCTCAAAGTTCAATGTTACATCACCTGGAGATCCTGTTAAAACTAGCAGGATCTGATTCAACAGATCTCTGGGGGAAGCCTGAAAAATCTTTAGCACTAATAGACTCCCAGGTGATGCTGATGCTGCTGGTCCACAAACAATACTCAGAATGGCAAGTTCTGGTAGCAGATGGTCTAAGTTTGAATTCTGGCTGTGCCATTTTCTGGTTTTATACCTTAGCAATCTACTTAACTTCTAGGCATTTCAGTTTCCTTAGCTGTAAAATGAGGAGAAATAACAGTAACGGCTTCAATTAAATTTCCGGAAGAATCTAAGGGGTTAATGCACTTAAAAGAATGCTTACTACACTATTATATTTCTTTAGTACTTGCTTGGTTTCTAAGGTCAGGAAATTAAGTTTTTTTGTAATTTATTTAGGAGTCACACGTTTTTTGCTTTTACCATTTTCTTTACACATTGAGAAGATATTGAAATAAATGAAAGATAAAATTCTTTCTCACTCTAGTCTTTTAGAACCATTTATTTTTATCATGTTTATATACTAATGAGTGAAATTATTTGGTAGCATACCTAGCAGTAGATAAGCATGCTTTCTCAGAGGGACTTATGAACTATACATTTACCACAGTAATCCAGTGCAAACAAAGGCACTGAAGGCAAATGAGAGAAGACATGAAAGCTATCTCAAAAACCCTTATTTATATGACAATTATATAATTTTAGAAAAGATGGAAGTTCATTTTTGAAAGACAATTCTTTTTTATAGATGAGAAAACAAGCAACTTCAGATTTACGCACAATGAAAGCTGAACTGGCACAGAAGAAACTTAATACAACTTTTCAATCTCAATTAGGTATGTTAATTTAAAACTTTTATTGGTCAAAGATCCAGTGATTAAGATTCCGCAGTTCCATTACAGGGGGTGCAGGTTCAACCTCTGGTCCAGGAACTAAGATCCCATATGCACTATAGTATGGCCAAAAAAAAATTTTTTTTTTACTTACTTGAACCTATTTGTTTAACCATTGTTCTCCTTGTTTCATATAAATTATAAGTTTCTCCTTGTTTCATATAAATTATAAGTTTTACATCTTTTCCCTTGTGGCCATTATACAGTGTTTTAGGAAATATAGGTGTAAAAAAGCAAAATGGTGGTTATTTGGCTATTTTTTAAGGTTTCAAATGTATTACATTTTATTTTACAGTACTATATTTTATCATTTTAATTTTTAAATAGTCTTAAAATATAATACCTAATATGACTGTAAAATGAAAAATTATTTAATAAATATGAGTCTAACTTGCATTCACAGCTATGACAGAGATTAGTACTGAGAATTTAAATCTTTTAAATTTATTTTAAAAATACAAAGACAATAGTAATCAGCAAATACTATGGAAAATGGTTGGTTTTACTTTGCTATAAATAATTATGCAAGTAGGAAATGAATTATTCTCATAACAGAAGACTCAACCGTTATTTATCCAATTTGAAGAGGGCAGAATGCACAGGGAAGGTGGGGTTAATGTAAATCCAGAGTTTAAGAGTGCAGATTTTTAATCTAAGAATTTATAGGAATTAATATAAATGCAACACAATATTCTTCTAAATTGGCTTGAGAAAGGAAACACAGACCCCTGTACATTTCTTTGCACAAAATTTTTCTTTTAGGAAGAAAACCACAGTTAAGAAACTAATGTCTTTAGATAATCAAAACACAGATATAGAAATTGAAAAAATTTAACTATGCAAACAAAACTAACCAGGATATATAAATGTCCATCAGTGAAGGAATATTAATAATTTGGAAGGGTAAATGACAATGAACAGAACTGGGTTCAACATCAAGTTTTTTGTAAACATTTCAGATATGACCTCAAAAAAATAATTAGTTGGTAAATATTAGATATATTTAACCTACTAATTCAAAAATTACTATTAAGTTACCTTCTTATATTTTCTAAGTATTTTGATCTTTTATACTCATTTTTTCCCCTTTGGAGACTTAAGTGAGTTTCATTCAAGTGACTCAGAGAACATGAGTGTTATAAGGAATCAGGAAGCAGAAAAATTATTTGCATCAATTTGGTGAACCTAAAGACACAAAATTGCAGGTTTAAAATTTATTGAAAAAAGTATAAAACAGATTCCCAGAGTAAAATTTTAAAAATCTATCCCTAAGCAAACAATTTCCACTTCAAATTATACATATTTTTAAAACTGTCACTGATTTGTAAGTATATATTTTAATATCATTTATTATCATTTAAAATTTTAGCATAATAAAATTCTGAAAGCAATTGTTCCCAACTATAGGTATTAAACTTCTTACAGGGGAATATCTGACATGGTAAGTTGACTTGCTTCTTACCTTTATGTTGTGTACCACAGAAGATATACATAGGTAAGTATTTTTCAATTTCAAACAATCAAAGCATTTCTTTGTTTATCTGTTTTTGAGAATACTAATAACTAAAATATATAAGAACATGAAAAAAGGTCTAAATTTTTTATTCTCTTCCAGAAACTAGATAGATTTAAACAGATCGTTTTTCTAAGTCTTCATAGTTTAGCAAAAGACGTTCATCTCTGGTCACAACTTTGGTTTTAAGGCTTTCCACATTTCTTCAGTTTGCTGTTTTGCTACAGCATCTCCGGAGTAGTCAAGGCAGTCTGCATGCCACATGCCAATGCCGAGTAAGCCACGTTTTTGTACATATGATGCCTTTAGAGAAATGCTCTGAGGGTCGTCATACCACACTTGATGGGGATGGCCAGCCTGATCCTGTACAAATAAATTAGAATGTAACTTGAAAATAGTCCGCACAGTAAGAGGAAACAGTGTTTCTTAAATCCGATGGTTCAAATAGGATACAACTGAAATAATAAAACTTTCAGGACACCCATAATACATTCCAACGTTCTGTATGTGATACTTTCTAGATATCATTGCCTGTAGCACTTTTACAACAATAGAGATTACACAAATGAACCTCCCAATGTATCTTATTTAAAATCCTTCTCATGCCCTAAGATTCCTTCCTTACTCTGATTTGGTGATTATCAACCAAGATGTACTGGTCACATCTGAATCACTTGTGAGGACTTTTAAAAACAGATTCCTAGGACCCACACCACATGAAACCTATTGAATCAAAATCTTCCAGGGCTAGTGCTGTAACATATATTTGTGTCTTTGTGTTATGTTTTAATGTTCCATTAGGTGATTCTGATATGTAGTCAAGATTAAGGAGGATCACTGCTTTTGCCCTCTAAAACCAACTTATACACTTTTTTTTTTTTTGCATTCACTTACAGTTCCTGGGAAGGGAAGCTCAACAGGTGACTTTGTTTATGATGGAACAGTCAGTTCAAAAGGTAATGACAATGGATGAAGAAAATATCTCCTTTTCTAGGTCTTACAGAACTGAGTCTAAGAGCCTGTGAGTCTGGACCCCATGGGTGACTTAGGCATACACCTGATTAAGAACCACAAGCTAGAAACTGGTCTTAGGCTTACTTTCCACCCTGAAAAGTCCTTTTCCCCACCACCACTTGCCTCTATCTAGCACTAACCACAGTCTCTTTTAGAAGGCATATAAGCTATGGATAAAGGATAAAAGAAAGAGGAAAGGAGTGAATTAGGCAAAAGGGTAAAGGAAGGGGGAAAGATAGGAAGTAAAAAATAGAACGATCTGTGATTTAAAATAATTTACTGATTTTTATATACATCTGGGGAACTCTTTAAAGGCAATTCTCAATGAATATCAGTAATATTTTTATTTATGCTAGCACCATGAGAATTAGAATCATCTCCTAAGATGACTGCTTTAAAGGATAGTAGTCACTTGGTAAATGAATAAGCCGTGGATATATAAGTATAGCAGATTCATTACATATAAGCATATCTCATACTATATCTTATATCCCATTATTTAAAATGTTTAGAGCTAGAAAAAGACATACATGCTCTAGTATCAATCGTGATTCAATATTAAAAGGCAACTTGCAAACCTTGTCCCTAAATATAGAAAGATTTATTTTTTTAGAGGCAGGGGCAAAGACATATTGCCCCGAAGACATATCCCTTTGAATTTTGTCATCATTCTATTGGGTTAGCCAAAAAGTCTGTTTAGCTTTTTCCATACCAGCTTACAAAATCGGAATGAAATTTCTGGCCAACCCAATAGAACTTTGAGTCTTTTTGATATATTAAAAATTTCTAATACCTCAAATAGTGAAGGATCAAAGGATGAAAAACTGGATATATGTAAAAATGACATATGCCTGGTAAAGAATATATGCCTCCAAGAATATTGACTGCAAGGTGAAGCTGCTATTGCTGAGGCAGCATTAGAAAGCACAATGATTCTCTTCAGTTAAAACATAAACTTGATTTGGGTTGCTATGGAATTTTACAAAGAATGAAGGAGAACAAATTGGTTATAGCTAGATGGTTGTCTGAAGTGCCATTGAATGGTTTTCAAGGCTCATCAAGATGTTTCCTCAGTTCTAAAATCTTAAAGAATATGTCTTATTATGCATTAAGGAAAAAAATAAGGAATTACAAAAAAAACAGTACATCATAGGGTAAACTATTTTAAAATATGTATTTCCAAACTATATATAATTGGTTAAATAAGCCATTTACCAAACTGATGTCCATGAAAAACTGTTCCCCTGCAAGTTTCTAAGGGTGTTGAGAAACAGGGTTCTATGTTAAACAATTAAATGACTTTATGTACTATGCTGCTGCTGCTAAGTCGCTTCAGTCGTGTCCGACTCTGTGCGACCCCATAGACAGCAGCCCATCAAGGCTCCCCCGCCCCTGGGATTCTCCAGGCAGAACACTAGAGTGGGTTGCCATTTCCTTCTCCAATGCGTGAAAGTGAAAAGTGAAAGTGAAGTCGCTCAGTCATGTCCAACTCTTCGCAACCCCATGGACTGCAGCCTACCAGCCTCCTCCATCCATGGGATTTTCCAGGCAAGAGTACTGGAGTGGAGTGCCATTGCCTTCTCCGTTATGTACTATAGTACATCTCAAATCCTTGAATATTATGTTATACATTATAAATCTTCAAGAGAGACTTATAGTATGTAGTGTTTTCCAGATATATTTGGCTATGGCATGTGTGTGTATGTGGGGGTTTTTTTCAGTGAATTCTTTTAGAATTTAATTTAACCTTTAAAATTTAAAATTATACAATTTTGAAGGTTACTTTCCAATATTGGCTATATTCCTTGTGCTGTACAATACATCCTTGAGCCTATCTTATACCCAACAATTTGTTCCTCCCACTTGCCCACCTCCTATATTGCCCCCTCACTGCACTTCCCACTAGTAACCACTCGAGTGTATGTATGCGTGTGTGTGTGTGTGCATTGTTAACAGTTCCCAGAACACAATTCTATAAATACTGTTTGGTAAAGACAGGATCACAATATACCCGAGTTTAATTAATGTTTATACTTTACATTCTAGATTCTAAAGTTTAAAAAGCTCTACCCTAAAACTTTCTACATAAATAATATACAGGCATGTACATGTACATCAATTATAATTTATTAAATATGTATATATGTACTCATTTTTTGTAAATGGGTATCAGACTATCAGAAAAATATATATACATTCTTGCTGGAATTAACATTCATCATATCATTTTAGGGTTCCTTTAATAGTTAACATAATCTAAGGCAAATTCAAAAATGGTTTGTATTTAAAATTTTTTGAGGTGTGAAAAAGTTTTTTATTATGCTAAAGGTAAACTATGGATAATATAACTTTTTTTTATCCCTTCAGTATGGCAATTCCTGTTTATCAAAAACTACCTGACAGAATTATTAGTTATTTACTCTGTTTCTTCAAGTTTCTGTTTGTAATATTTTTCACTCTCTAATTTTTAATATTGTTTATAATTTATTCAAATATCACAGTTTGAACTGTGGGATAAATTTGGAATGATACAATTTTCCATTGTAAAGTACATGATGATGCATCTCCTAGTCTCAGTCTCATTCCTTCCAATATAACAGCCTCATAAGAATCATGAGGCTGCTTTGAAATGGAGATTTTCAGAGCAAGTAACCTATTTTGGTCCAAAGTCCTTTCAAAAGCCACAGACATCATTTACAATTGTCAACTCCTAAGAAAATTGTTTGTGATATACATGTTTTTATCATATCATCTAAAATGACAAGTGGCTCATGCAGAGCAGTTCCACTATTAGCATAATTTGAATTGCTCACAAGGGAAGTCAAGTTCCTGATTACACAGATTCAAAAACAAGTCTACTCATGTAAACAGCAGTCTGTATGTTGTATCCTATAAGAAAACTGATAGAAAAAAATCTTACTATCAAATATGTAATTATGAAAATATGAAATTATGAAAACTAATAAAGATTTGTAACTTGTGGATAGTCTTACTTTATAGTGATAATAAGGAGACTGCTGATTTTTATCCCACAGCCTTCCAGAAGTAGAACTATTTACTTGCTTCATAATTGTCTGATAAGCCACTTGATGATGTACAGCTTCGCTACAAGGGTATTTTGCAGTGGTACAAACATGATCCTATAAACACAAAAATGTTCATGTCACAGATTATCAATTAAGCAAACCTTCAGAGTCAAACCCAAAATTATAAAAATTAGACATGAAATATAAACTATAAATAGATAATCTGACTATACAAATTAAAGTTAAATTTTAATATTAAATAGAAATATAGTAACATTCACACACTTGTATGGGATTTAATTATTTATTTAGTCTCAAACTATATTAAAGAAGTTCTCCATAAAGTATATGTATTCTATAGAGAGAAGTTTCTAAACTCTAAATAAAATAAAGTTTATATAGAGGAAACAAAACAAGTTCTAAAAAATATAATAAAAAGAGAAAAAAATTACATAAGAAATGATCTGTTCTTACCAGTGATAGATTTTGGCAGGTATAATCATAACCATACCAGGGAATACCCATTACAAGTTTCTTAGGGTTAATTCCAATCTTGATGAATTCATCATATCCTGATCAAATAGGAACAGAAAAAGCATATTATTTTTCTCTTCATATATCTACTAATGTGTTCATATAAGCTATGTAACCACTCAGAATCCAAGTTTGTAAAAACAGGTACATTTATGCAAGACACTACAGTGTTTCTCAATCTTTAAATTTTGTATCACTTTCTAAGTCATTTGTTTTATAAAATATTTATTTATTTGGCTGCACTGAGTCTTCATTGTGGCATGCAATATCATTAGTTGTGGCATACAGCATCTTTTATTTTTGGCATGCAGCTCTTTTAGTTGCAGCATGTAAATGAATAGAAAACATTCGAAACAAAATCAAATTGAAGCAAAAAATTCACACAATTTAAGAACAATGGCACATTTCAGGAAAGCACGTTAATTGTGTCTATTAACTACTAAGGCACAGATTTGATATCCTAGATTCTAAAGCTTTAAAAAAGTTGTGTAAGTCAAACTTTCTGGTTGCTGCTGCTAAGTCACGTCAGTCGTGTCTGACTCTGTGCAACCCCATAGACAGCAGCCCACCAGGCTCTCCCGTCCCCGGAATTCTCCAGGCAAGAACGCTGGAGTGGTCTGCCAGTTCCTTCTCCAATGCATGAAAGTGAAAAGTGAAAGTGAAGTTGCTCAGTCGTGTCCGACTCTTAGCGACCCCATGGACCGCAGCCTACCAGGCTCCTCCGTCCACAGGATTTTCCAGGCAAGAGTACTGGAGTGGGGTGCCACTGCCTTCTCCAAAACTTTCTGGTAGGAGTCCCAAAACTACTTCTTGAATGCACAAGTGTTTCACATTTTATCAGTATCCTAAAGGAGATCAGTCCTGGCTGTTCACTGGAAGGACTGATGTTGAAGCTGAAACTCCAATACTTTGGCCATCTGATGTGAAGAGCTGACTCATTTGAAAAGACCCTGATGCTGGGAAAGATTGAGGGTAGGAGGAGAAGGGGACAACAGAGGATGAGATGGATGGATGGCATTACTGACTCAATGGACATGGGTTTGGGTAGACTCCAGCAGTTGGTGATGGACAGGGAGGCCTGCTGTGCTGCGGTTCATGGGGTTGCAAAGAGTTGGACACGACTGAGCAACTGAACTGAACTATAAACATGAATTACAGCTACCCTATATTACTCGGTAGCAGATAATCTATAGATAGGAAACAGAGAAAAATGAATAAATCCATGGTCCTATCAATTCCTTTCTTGCCCATGCTGCAAAATATGTTTTCCCACAAAGACATGTTCCAAGATTAGCTAGGATGAGTTGAGTAATTTGCTGTTTTTCAGAGTCTTTAAAGTTACCATGTACTGTTCAATATCCAAGAGAAGGATGGAGTATGCATCATTTCCCAAACATACTTGATAATGAATCTTTTATTGATATACATAATTATTATCTCTTTCATAAACACAGCTTGGAAACACTGGATTAAATAATTATTTTGTATTATAACACATTTTTTTCACATTTTAAATAAGATATGCTTATGATCAAACTAGTCTATTCAGAAAATTTGTTGTTGTTTAGTCACTAAATCATGTCTGACTCTTTGTGACCCCACTGACTATAGCCCTCCTGGCTCCTCTGTCCATGAGATTTCCCAGGAAAGAATACTGTAGTGGGTTGCCATTTCCTTCTCCAGGGGATCTTCTTGACCCGGAGACTGAACTAGGGTGTCCTGCATTGGCAGGTGGATTCTTTACCACTGAGCCACCTGTGAAACCCATCCAGACAATTAGGACATGATAAAATTAGGTCAGGTTCTATGATTTTACCTCTATATGAAAAATAAAGGAATTTTTATTTATTATTTAATAGTTAAATCAGTGCCAACTATGCCAGAAAATCTCTCTTAAGTCCGAAAGTTAACAAGCAATCTTTTATTCAATTGGTTTATGGTATACAAACCAACGCAAACTTCAGAAAGGATAATACAAAGTCCATGTCATATGAATGAGATACCAGAAGTACTCTTAATAGGAATCTAATTGTCAGTGTGGCATGGGTACTAAAAGTAAATGCCAAATAAGGTAAAACCAATCCTATCAATCATGTACAATAGTTACATTATAGCTACCTTTGCTATTATTTAACTTTGGTTATTTCAACAAAAAAATTCTGTCAAATTCTAAATAAGCAAATATCTTATTTGGGTAACTTTCTGAAAAGAGTTGTGACTTGAAGTTAGAACACCTGCTTGAATCCCAACCATATACTACCTAATAGCCATGCAATCATGAGATCTTAACACCCTTCATCTCATCTATAATGAAGGGTTAATTTATTATACCTATCTGACAAGACTTTTAGAAGAAGTAATTGAAAATGTTAAAACTTTTTGTAAAATTTAAAGTTCTCAAATTAAGAGGTTTTTATGTTTTAAGTGTTACAAATGGAAAACATACAAATGACTTAGAAATACTAAAATATACTATAATGTTTGAGGTTATAGAATTACTATTACTGATAAATGATCACTTTGTGATTTCTTACCAGTTAATGTCTGAATATAGGGAGAATTGGCTCCTGCAATACATCGTGACCAGGCCAGACTTCGTTCGTCGTAAGACATCACAAAGAGAAAGTCACAGGCATCTGCAATTCCGGTATAGTTATAGCACCTTGCACCTACGCAGTTTGGACCCCAAGGTACATCAAAGGTTACCTATAGAAAAACCATTTTATGTAACATGATCAAATAAGCATATTACGGCAGATGTTTTGTTGATTATATATTCTCTTGACTCATATTATCCCCCAAAAAGAACCACTTAGGTGTATGAACATACAGTTTGACATGTATGGAATGAGAACAATCCTAAGAAATGTATTTTTTGTCTGCATGGACTGACCCAGACATGTGTTTTTGACAATGTCTTGGCCATATAGGTAATGGACATATATTTGGACCAGGACATATTTGGACTTGTACAATGACCAGGAGTGGGCACAATGTAGAAGAGGAATTTTAAACTCAAATGCCTTCAGACTGGCAACTCAACTGATTAAAGAAAACTCATGTAATCACAGTAGGGTGTGGTAGGGTCTATAAGCAACTAGAGAGTAAAAACACACTGAAAGAATTCAAATTAAAAAATTCTTTAAAATGTCGTGCAAGCTACATAGGTCATCTCTTGGCACAAGCTGACTGGACTACGTTGGGACTTTGAGCTCCTGATTTACAACTATGCTACCTGGTAGGTTTAGTCCAATATTATAGTTAAAGAGTCGTGGTATTTTATGGCTACTAGTATATATTAATCAACTCAAAATGTTATACAAGTCACTTAAAGGTTGATTTTATGGAAATATTCAAATAAAACTTGAGTGATAAATTATCTTTTATTTTGAATATGAGCCAGTCCTCGGTAAGGATGAGCCTCTTAAGATTTATTGCTTTAATTGAGTAGTATATATGCCTGCAAATGTTCTAAAGCTTCATTAAAAGTTTTCTGTTTAATTAGGCTCTCAATAAATATACTGATTAATATTACAAAAAGTTGAGGTATTGTAGTTAAATTTTTACACTTTGGCCAATTTATTCTACTTAACTCTTCTTAGGACTTTCTCAAAATTCTCTCTATAACTCTCTCACTATTAACACTAAAGAAAGCTCTGCTTTGTAAGTACAGGCTTTCCCCAAATCTCTCCAGCAAAATAGGTTATAAAGTGAAATTTTTACATATTGGACTTCATTTTTTCACTCTCTCCTCTACAAAATGGAAGTATAATAAGGTGATAGAGAAAGTGACTGCCTCTAAGCTGGTAAATTTAAAATTCATTTTTGCAAGTTCTTGCCTCTTTTCTGAGCAGCGAGAATATTTTCACTGGTTTTTCTGTCATGGTTAATCTCATACTTTTTTAGCAGGTAGTGTTAGTATATTAGAAAAGAAATCAAAAGACTGATTCTTATCTTGGCTCTCATATAACTAGATTATTTCATTTTAAATATGTGGTCTGTTTTCCAACTGTAACAGTGGAAGTGTAGAAAGAATTCTTCAAGAGCCCTTCTAGTTCTTTAATCCTATGAGGGCAAATTCTATAATCCTAAATTATTAACTTTTCCTCAAAATTCATTTCTCCTTCTAGGGGCTCATTTGTTTTGTTTTGTTTTTGTTTTTGTTTTTCTGCTCACCAGTTTAAGAACTTTGAGGATTTTTCTGACTCTCTTTCTCTCTCATCCTATAACTAATCTCACATTTTCTTTTGGGTAGCCTCTCACAATTGTTCTGCCTCTTCATTTGTCCACTAATTCAATGAACACTTTCTGAGTATCAGGGTTATGTTGCTGCTGCTGCTAAGTCGCTTCAGTCGTGTCCGATTCTGTGCAACCTCAGAGACAGAGGCCCACCAGGCTCCCCCGTCCGTGGGATTCTCCAGGCAAGAACACTGGAGTGGGTTGCCATTTCCTTCTCCAATGCATGAAAGTGAAAAATGAAAGTGAAGTCGTTCAGTCGTGTCCGACTCTTAGCGATCCCATGGACTGCACCCTACCAGGCTCCACCGTCCATGGGATTTTCCAGGCAAGAGTACTGGAGTGGGGTGCCATTGCCTTCTCCGGTTAGGGTTATGCCATCATCCCTACTCAAACCATAAATTCTAAGTTATTGGATTACTGGGTTAGTCCTTATAAGTCTCCTCTAGACAATTTTACATACTACCATAAATAATCTTCCCCAGATACTTTCTACACACTTTACCCATTACATATAGAATCAAATGCATACTCTTTAGTGTGACATCCTGGATGTTCAGTGTGACAATCTGGCTCAGCTTGGCAACTGTACTTTCCACTGACTTACCTAATATGAACTTGACATGGTAGCCCAAATTGTTCTACTTGTCCATGAAAATAGACACTCATACTGCAAAGTCTTTACTCAATCTCTTCCTCTTTGTTCTTTCACTATAGTTTAATCAGGACTAACAAATAAGTTCCCATGCATTAATTCTACCCTATTAACAAAGCAATCTAGAGAATGAAGGAAAAGTTTCTGAGGCTAAAATTTGTGAGAAGAGTACAGTGACCTGCATACCAGGTATTTGCTATTCTTGATCTAAATTGTACTTATCTGAAAAACTGAATTCCACACTGACAAACCTTCCCTACTTGCATACAGTCACAGAGATATCAATTTTTATGTTGTCTATTATTTTTCTAATGCTTCTCAAATTCATGTTGACCAACTATGAGTGATAAGAATCACTTATCACTCTTGATAAAAATACAGTTCCTAGAATTAGGGTTTGAGTCTCAATGGGCCATAGGTGCTTTGCAAAGTAATTCAGAGTCTATGGAGCAAGTGAGACACTTCTCTATAACTATCTCTACTCTTAGGCAAAAGCTATTTCTGTCCTGAACTGATGAAAGCAGGGCCTGGCCAACTGAGTCCTTCCTCTGCCTATCTACTATACCTAACCATGCTGCAAGGCAAGCAGGTGGGACAGTTTTAGTGTTGGAAACTTATGTGAATAAAGAACAGGTTTGGACCTTAAAATTTTATAAAACTCTTCTAGTTAGGAACCTCAAAAGTTCCAGAAAACTTTTTAGGATGTGCTGAAACTCTTCCTACTCAGTAAAACTGAGATTCTACCTTAATGAATTTTGAGAGGAAAAACAAGGGGTTTCAAAAAAACAGCAAATGAATTTTCACCTGTGATCCTTCAATTTCATGATGGAAAGAGTCTGTGGTTTCTTTGACTAAAGCAGTTAATGCATAATATTCAGGTGATAAATGAGCAACATCTTGTTCTATGTCTAGATTAATTCCATCCATATATTGTGTTTTGGCCAGCTTAACTTGTTGAGCTATCCAGGATGCTCTGAAAGTAGCATTAATGATATCCTTTACAGATACATCTCCTATGGAAGAAATATACATCTTTTGTACATACATGCTTTCCACATTTTAATAAAATCTATTTCACAAACCCATTCCACAGAGATCCTAATGTCTTTAAAACATCTCATAATTTTTGAATACTCAGCCTCAAATTTAAGTTTTCCAAACAAAGAAATAATACATCAAAATCACAGAAAATCATGTCACTGATCTCCTAAATAACCATTATGAATAATTAGTAATATTCTCAGATTAAAAACAGAGATTGTGGGCTGTGGCTAGCTAAGGGTCATCATGCTAATTAGGACTCAATATTTTGCCCAAAACCATATGGTGGTTTACTTGATGCTTTAAAAATATCTCTACCTGAAAAATGAATTAAACAGTGAGATTAATTTTAGGATGCTAAACATATAAACATGAAAATGTTTGGAAATTTGAGATAGCAGATGATGCAACTAAACTTACCAATTGGCGAGACACATCTGGTTAAAATTGTAACTTACCTTTTAACACTACTCTGGCTCCTTTTGCATGAGCATGGCACATAAGTTCTGGGTCATAATTTGAAAAAAGTACCACAGTTGTAATCTGTGACCAGTCATAATATTTCCAAGTTTTATGTCCAACATCAAATACAAACACCTGCCAAAACAACAGGAATAAGCACCCTCACTTAAACCAGGAAGAATACCATTCTGACCACCCAAAGAAACATTAGTTAATCATCGATCACATGCCAGGCACTGGTAGACACTGAGAGTACAAGAGTGAATTAGATATACGGGGCCCAATTAATTGGTGGCAGAGGAAATTAGCAGGTCTGGAAAGCAGGGGAGGGTAAGCTAGGAAGAAATAGTGGCAAGTGCCTGGAGGCACAGAGAGCACAGTGTTCTGTTCGGCTGACACCTAGAATTTGGAGGAAGACCATAATGAAGAACCAGAGAGAGGTAGTCAGGGTTAAATCATGAAAGGACTTGAAGCCCTTTTGAGAAATTATCCCGAGGGAAAGGGTTTTAAGAAGAGAATATACATATTTTAGCTATGCATTTTAGAAAATTAAAGACCTATTTTTATCCCCCTTCATGAGTGCCAGGTATAGAAGAGCAGAGTAAGGAGCACCTTCGGTCTTTCACTGGACCTCATCCTCATCCTCTTGGAAACCAATCGGTCTTGCTGCTTAGGGAGTTAATCCCTTACAGGCCTCCTTGTTTGTCTGGCCAGAGTACCTCAGGAGAGACACAGCAGGCTAATGCAAGGGGCTTGGACTTGGATTCAGACCTGGGTTGGAATACTTAACTGTGAGACGTGGGAGGAGTTACTCAACCTCTCTGAGCCCAAATTTCCTCAAGGAAATCCATGAACAGAAAAGGTCCTCCGCGAGCGGTCATAGTTAGCTTCGCCCCCCACCCCCAGCACCTCTTTTTCCGGCTCCGTTCTTCTACTGTAAGTCCTTTTAGGGCCCTGTGAGGACCAGACCCGGAGGGTCAGGGGAGAGGGATGCCACTGACCTCGAAGTCGGGGCGGTGGGTGATGGGACGGCACAGCGCTGGGACCTGGCACGGGCAGTCCGCCCTCGCCCCGTCGGGCAGCGCCAGCAGCAGCGGCAGCAGCAGCGGAGCGAGTCTGGGCGACCGGCGGGGCAAGGGAGCGAGCCGCCGGCTCCCCGCTGGCTGCAGCCGGGCCATGCTAGCTGCTCACCAGGCAGCGGCACCTTCGGATTCCCAGCTGGGGCCAGCTTTATGGAGGGGAGAGATGAGGGGGGAGGCGGGGAGGGGCGGGGCGGGGCTCCCGGTCTGGGCAGGTTGCGATGGGGAGGCTGCGGCCTCCAAGCCGGGGGATCTGGGCTGTCGGAAGGAGGCAATGAAGTTTCCGAGCCTCTGGCGCCTTGCAGACCAACTTGGGCAAACTCCGGGAGATGTTGAGGGACAGGGAGGCTTGGCGTGCTGCAGTCCATGGCGTCGCAAAAAGTCGGACACGACTGGGCGACTGAACAACAACAAGCGCCGCGTGAAGGAAATTAAAAAGCAAGTGGTCTGGGCAGGCTTTAGAAGCAGGAGAGGAGGTTTCTGACTGCCTTCTAACCCCCGCCCCGGGCTAGGTGTTTGTCTCCAACACAGGAATTCGTATCAGCCAGTCAAGCGACCGTGCTTTAGATAAGAGAGGGAGTGGATCTTCAATTTTCTCGGAGCCCATGGAGACCTCGTCAGAACCCCTGGTATCTGGAAAATCTTGAGACTTAAAAGGTGAAGGGGGGGGGGGGGGGACAGCATTGCAAACATTAAAGTAAAACCAGAGCTGTATTTTTTGCGTGTAAACTGATGATGATTTGAGTTTGTGACCTGGGATTATGAGCGGGAGTCCCCAAAACTACAATCTGAAGTCTCATCCATGGGGTGGACCCACTGCCCAGGACTTTTTCCCAATTGAGACTCCAGATTGCTGTTAATAAGGGATTTCCTAGCACTGTTTAATCTGGAAGTTGGTCAGCCCAATTTGGTGATGGATGTACTGTTGTTGTTTTAGTTGCTAGTTTGTGTCCCACTCTTTCCAATACCATGAACTGTAGCCCACCAGGCTTCTCTGTCCATGGGATTTCCCAGGGGATGTGCTGTTACTTTTTCTGTTTCTCTTTTTTAATGACTGTATATTGAAATTGTGTCAAATATTCTTCTATTAAATATGGAAAGTGTTTATTGTGTGTGATGAGTGGTTTCTTTTGTTAATGAACCCTTCAAAACTTACACAGACGTAAAACTCTGGCAAAACACACTGAGCCCAGGCAGCCAGGGCCTTGGTGGCCAGCAGGGCAGTGGCTCAAGTGTATGCCGCCTCCCGTTTTTGTGCCTGTCTCTGGCTCTGTGTCATAGTTGTGTGTCTCTTCCTTGTGGAGTCGAAAACCGTTGGGAGCCCTCGAAGTGGAGAAGTAGGGTGCCTTGGAAGGGATGACTGTAGTACCTGGTGGGAATGGCCCAAAGGTTTTAAAGATATGGGTATCTGTTGGATTAAGATGGTGGTTTGAATATGGACTCTAATTTCGCTTCCTTCCATGCTTAAACTCCAGTAAAAACCTGAACCCAAAAGGGCAGGGAGATAACAGCAACGTTTTGGAAGTTTGAAAGCACAAGTATGAGGCCTGGGTGCCCCAACTCCCAACAGTACAGAAACCTGAGAAACAGCCTAATTCATAGAATCTTCAAAAGTTCTCAAGGAAGCAATTTTGTGTGTTGTTTCTGGGGCTCCAAAGAGCTCTGGTACCATAGTTTTTTATTTTCAGTGCAGAGAAGAAATCATTAAGAGGCAAAGTGATAGATAAGAAGTGATTTATTAGAATAAGATGCTTGTGATGTTTTCAAGTGGGTGGGCAAGGGGGTGCTATACTCCCAAGAACTTACTGGACTACAGTTTTATAATCAAAGGAAAAGTAGGGAGGAAAAGAATTTCTTTGTCTTTCCTGAGTAGATGCCCTGCTTCCATCAGCTCCTCTTCCAGGTTGAGCAGGGGAGTTTTCTCATCCCTACAAAGTCAAGCTAGGTCCCCAAATTATCATTTGTGTGTGTGTGTGCAGAGAGCATGTGCAGGGATCATTAATTTACTGAGTTCACTGCGCAGGTCTCATGCCACCATTGTTTTATTGTTTGTGGGCATGTCTCATGCGTCTGTTGCATGGTTTTGTTGCTAAGCAAGACTGCTTGGTTTTGTGGTTAAGCAAACCTGCTCTCTTGAGTAATCATTAACTTAACAAGGGTCTCCCATTTTTCTACTTACAATCCCCTAGTGGGATTAACTGTTTAATCATCTACTTTGTCCTTTCACTCTGTCCCTATCACTAGAACTGCAAGAGGTGCCTCAGAAATTAGAGGTGAAGGGGGGATGGAGGTTAGGATGTCAGAAAATGCAGGGAATTAGGTGAGAGTCGCTTGAGAAGCAGTTAGATCTATAGATCTTTTCTCCAGCATTATGTCTGGGCAACTGCCCTTCTCCCACCCAGGCTGAAGTTTGGAGGCTTAATTCTCTGAGAGGGTGAATTCTCTGGTAGGTGCTTGGGTACCACTAACCCTAAGCCTAATCTAAAAGGAATATAACTAACTCTGTGCCTGACCCAAGATATTAGAAATGCCCTGAGATCATCCTTTTGAAATTCAAAGTCAAAAATACCAGTCACCCACTCAGAGCTCCCTCTCTTTTTACTTCTTACCTCTTACTTTTAATCACTGAGAACAAATAAAACAATCAAATAATATAAAACAAACAACAGAGAAAGGAATATGGAGGAAACAGGCATTGTCCAGAGGATACTAAAAGAAAACAAAAAGACACCTGTCAGTAATATCCCCAGAAAGGTAAGAGAAGATGAAAACTGCAACAGGATGCCTTTTTTTTTTTTTAAGGGGCATGGGAATAGAGTTCATGTAAATTAGAATTATCACAGAAATTAGGAAAAAGTCAGAATGTCTGAGCAAAGTACAAAAATACTCTTCAAAAAAAAAAAAAGAATACTAAAAGAGTAGTCCAGATGTGAAGAAATCATCAACTACAAGAATGAAGGACAGGAGTTTTCAGAAGGGCAAGATACAGATCCTAAGAGCTTCCAGAAAATCACAAAGTATCAAAAATCAGAAGGTCGTCAGATTTATCAATAGCAACACAAAGCTCAAAGACAGTGAAACATTGCATTTGAAATTCTGAGGGAATATGATTTCTGCTTAAAATTCTGCCAAATTATCAATCAAATGGAAAAGTCATGTAACATTTCAAAATATTGACATATCATACATTTCAAATGGAGTGTGCTAGGCCCTGCACCCAGAAATTCTGCTTCACTGAGTCTGTGTGGAGGCCATGAACGTGAATTTTGAAACAACAGCCCCACGTGATTATAATGTAGGCTGTGGCATGTAATTTGAGAGTCACTGCCATGATTAGTGATTTCATAGTCTAAAGGAAACCTTTTTGATTTTACATCCCACCCCTATTTCAGAAGCCGTCTCCATTTAGTAGGGAGACAGTATTAATAAGAAATACTTATTATGGGAGTATTACTTATTATGGGAGTTCACAGTTCTATTTTGGTTTTGAGAGTCTGTGAATAGCTATGAACTCTCTTTCCAGAAAAGAGCATAAACATAGTCATACAAATTATGTGAACCTTTTTTAGTTTATCTGTGGACCACTAGGTTGCTCTCGGGTATAAGCCTCAGAAGTGATTATTCATATTTACATTTCTGGAATGGCATTTGTAATATTTCTTTCCCTGCCACCGTTCACTCAAGCCTATTTTCCAAAACCTCCTCAGTTCAGTTCCTTCCCGTTCTCCTTACACTGCTATCTAGTCACTCTCATTGCTAACTCTATATGTGAAAATATTTCATTTTCCTGGACCAAAACTGAAGCGGGATTTCATATGAGTCACGTCACTTGATACCAAGCACAGAAAACTCGACCTGAGCACAAAGTAGGAATTTATTATGTCAAGGAACTAAATGTTCCTGGGGAGATCTTCAGGACCCAGAGATGTTAATCATATCAACAGTTCTCAGTCTCATTCTCCATTTCTTGGCTCTGCTTTTCTCTGAGTTTGTTCTGTTATTAGGTAGTGCTGGTGGTGGTTTAGTCACTAAGTCATGTCTGACTCTTGTGACACCATGGACTGCATCCTGCCAGGCTCCTCCGTCCATGGGATTCTCCAGGTGAGTGTACTGGTGTGGGTTGCCATTTCCTTCTCCAGTTATAAGGTAGTTTTTCTCCATGTGGTGGAAAGATGGTTTCCAACTCCACAGGCCTCCTTACATCTCCAGAGCCTCCCCTAACATTTGCAGACCCCAAGGCAAGGGCACAAATGGAAATCCACACACATGAAGTCTAATTTCTTTTTCTAGAAATTTTATTTTCCAACAGGAAGCCAAATGAAGTGAGGGCAAAACTAAAAGACTAGAATTCTCAGTATATATTTTCCACTGATCAGGACCTCATTTTTCCCCTACAAAATTAAGGACACTAAGTTTTAACTCACAAACTTGCTAGGAGGACACATTCTGACAGTTCATATCAATATCTTTTGGTAGTGTTAGTAAATGCTTGACATTCTTGTTATTAGTAATACAATATTTTTGCATTCTTATTAGTAACACATTTGTCATAGAATATTGTAGAGTTAACATTCTGAGAAGATCAAAGAATATTCAAATTTTTATGATGTTCTTGGTGAAAAAGAACACATTGCTTAATGCTATCCATAATTTTTGAGAGGGGGCTTATGCCTTAAATTAACAACTTCCATATCAGAATTCACATTATTTCAGTTCAGTTCAGTCGCTCAGTCATGTTCAACTCTTTGCAGCCCCATAAACTGCAGCACACCAGGCCTCCCTGTCCATCACCAACTCCCAGAGTTTACTCAAACTCATGTCCATTGAATCGGTGATGTCATCCAACCATCTTGTCCTCTGTCGTCCCCTTCTCCTCCCACCTTCAATCTTCCCCAACATCAGGGTCCCTTCCAGTGAGTCAGTTCTTCCCATCAGGTGGCCAAAGTTTTGGAGTTTCAGCTTCAGCATCAGTCCTTCCAATGAATATTCAGGACTGATTTCTTTAGGATTGACTGGTTGGATCTCCTTGCAGTCCAAGGGACCCTCAAGAGTCTTCTCCAACACCACAGTTCAAAAGCATCAATTCTTCGGTGCTCAGC